AAACCTCTGAAACTATGAGCCAAAATAATCCTTTTATTTTAAGTTGTCTATCTCAGGTACTTGTCACAGCAATAAAGAGCTGACAAGGTCCTCATGATCTTTTTAAGCCATGATTCTCACTCCTGAGTCCTGTAGAGACTCAGGGACAAGGACATTGAATTGTCCTGTTTTATAAAGAAGGACCTTTCCAACACTGATAGAGTCCAAGTACACAGGCAATTTCTGATCACTATCTACAGTCATTTTAATAAATTCGGGTAAACACAGAGATCTGTGTGTTTCCTGATGTTGTTGTGATCCTAATTTATAACTACAGTAAAGCATGTTTAGGTAACTGTTATTAGTGGAACAGTGTGCATAGAGCACTCAACACTGTATTTGACATTAGAATTTTCTCAATATAATCTTTCACTCCAGGGGGCACACAGATAATGCATTTCTCATTGGGTATGAAATCTGATATCAATAGAATTATTGAAAGTCTTTGTGAAGTGGTAATTTTAGGTTTGAATATTGTGACAGCAGGTGGAGCTAGTAGTAGGAATTCTATTTCTAGGCCATTTAAAAAGCAGCAAGATATATAAGACTTACATTAATGTGTTTGCAATACAGAGCTTCAGGAGTAGTAAATTATTAAGTATTAGCTTTGAAAAGTGATCATATTATTACAACAAGAGAGCCTAGCTGAATGAAAACTCAATCTTTTCAGAAATGGGGCTTGTATTTGGATGTGTGCTGTCTGAGAAGACGACATGAAGGCATAAGGAGTGGGGTGTGTTTACACGGATTAATATGCACTGGATGACACTGACCCCTAGTGTATTGACTTTAATAAGTAAGGTGTAAGTAAGGTAGTAAGTAAGGTGATTCTGAGGGAAAATAATCTGAAAGAACTTGATCACGCATACAGAGCTATTTGGGTTATGAGATTGTTTCTCTTTTAAATGATAATAAACATACAACCTAAATCTCTATATATTTTCTCCTAGGATAACTGAAGAACATTTGCTTTTTATCTAGCGAGATTACAGAATAAAGACTTGCATACTTTATAGCTCCAAATACTGGTGTATTATCTGAGTATGTAACTTAAAAGATATCACCACTCGTGTGGTTTTTTCCTTGTGAATTGCACTCGAGACCATATAACTGTGCTTCCCTTCCAATCCTTTCCGTAAGCCAGATGCAGTGATAAAGACAAATATTACATATGCATTTCCTTTCTTTCAGAATTTTGTTTCCTTTTCACTAGATCATTGTATGTTAAGAAATGGGAGTTTCTAAAATAACAGCTTATTTTTATTTTGCTGGCTATGTGAATAAAAAGTGACGTACATTTTGGTATTAGTTTTTAGAATTATAAGATGATTTAAAACACATTTAATACTGTTTTTTTTTTTTTTTTGTGGCACCGGGGCTCGAACTCGGGTCCTCACGCTTGCAGGCAGGTGGCAGAACCACTGAACTAAATCTCTGGCCCCACATTTAATACTTTTTGCTGAAAACTAGAAATAACACCTTCCTAATCTTATTTATTACATATATTACTTATAAGCAAACATGTAACTAATAACGACTACCTGCCAGGCCTCATGCTAAACATGGGGATGGAATTTTGAATATCATACATTGTTTTCCCTTGTCATAACGCAGGCCAACATGGCCGGATAATTACCATAGATCCTAATCCATTCTACCATAACACTATGAGTACTGGGCTTTTGGCCATAGCAAAGGGACTTATCTGAGAGAAATCACAGAAGCTTTGAAAGAACAGGTAATGCTTGAGTTGCATCTGGAAGGAGATGTGAAAAATCACTAGGAAAAATAAAGAAAAAACTGCTTTCCACCGAGTGTGTTTATCCATGAAGGTGCTGATAGTCTACTGTTTTGGAGAAGAAGCAGGAAGTTAGCTAGGGAGTCTGGAGAGGTTGGTAGGGGTAAGATGGTGATGAATCTCATAGAGTGCACCATGATCTTGAATAACTTATACAAGAATTTCAGCACCTGTAGCTTCTGTTTAATTGATTACTTTTTAGAGTTCATAAAACTGAAGATATGGATATGATCTTATGGGAACATGGCAGCTAGACTTCATTTTAACCTCAGCATGTAAAAATATGTTCTCTGGTCACAAGGGTGATTAGATGGGAATGGAGCTGCATCAATATCTTTAGCAACTAGGAAAGAAATGGTACATGTGCTAACTCCACACAGCACGGTCAGCTCTCTGTAGCTACAGGTGCCACACTTCAGCCACCTGCAGATGGAAAATATTCGGAAAAAGTTGCATCTGTAGTGAACATGTGCAGACTTTCGTCATTATTCCTCAACAGTACAACATAACAACTATTTATATAGGGCTTGCATTGTATTAAGTATCATAAGTAATGTAGAGATGATTTAAAGTATATGGGAGGATGTGCATAGGTTATATGCAAATATTGCACCATTTTTTAAATAAGGGACTTAGTTTCTTAGCTTTTAGTATCCTGGGGGGCGGGTCTTGGAACAACCCCTACAGATACCAAGGGATGAGTGCATTTATTGAATACCCGTCCAGTGCTCTGCTTGCTGCTGGAATATACGCTTTCTTGCTTAGAGGGACAAGCAGTTGCCTCCTTGACTCTTTCCTCTTGTTACAGGCCACTCAGGTCCCTGCATTCAGGTCCCTTTACTCACTACTTCCAAACAAACAAGGGACGCATGGTGAAAAAGAGAGAGGCTTTCTTCAGAGAAAGCTCTGAGAAGATAGAGGGGCCTCGGGTTCCCTCAAATTCCTCCTGTCCCTGTGGAAAGGTGGCTGGACCCTGACTTCCAGGTGCCACTGTCTGTATCTGTCCATTTATCTGAGTGGAGGAGAAGAGGGGGTGGCAGCTTATGCCCTAGGCCTGAGGAAGTTTGGAGGAACCACTCATCTCTAAAGAAAAGCTTGTAACTTTTAAAGTTCCGTTTTGCACTGCTAGTCACACTTGTAGTTGTCTCCAAAACATGGAACGTTTAACACATCCAAATCACAACTCTGTTCCATCCCCAGTCCTGTTCTCCACCTCATCTTTTCCATGTCCTTAAATGACCCCTCGGCCCACCAGGTTCTCAACCCAGAATCTGCGGGCTGTTCTGGACATCCTGCCACATGCAGTTGCTCCTCAAGTCCTGCCGTTTGTCTTCTCCAGTGTGTCTGGGTGGCTTTACTCCTCTCACTGCTGCTGCCAAGCAGCTACATTCTTGCCAGGAGGCTCCTAACTGGTCTCCCTTTTTACATTTTTACTTTTTCCCCTAATCCTTTTTTCAAGACAATGGCCTGAAAGATCTTTTTAAAAATTAAAATATCTTATTATTTCTTAATTCAAACTTTGTATTGACTTTCTCTTGTAATGCAAATAAAACTGAAATTACTGCATCCCACAAAGGCCTGTGGATTCTGGCCCTGCCTGCCTTACCACTTTGTCTCTGTCTCTCTGTCTCTCTGTCTCTCTGTCTCTCTGTCTCTCTCTTTGTGTGTGTGTGTGTGTGTCTCTGTCTCTCTCTCCTTTCCAGCCACATGGCCTCTTTTCATTTCCCATTTTCTCACCCCGTGGTCTTGGTACAGGCTGTTTCCGCTGTCTGAATGGCTCCTTTTCCCATCCTGCAGCCAACTGGTATCATTTCATGGTTTGGGTCTTAGCTTAAATATCCCCTGCAAATGCTCACTCCTTTGCTAGAGTCTGTGCTACAAGATTCCCAGGACTCTTTTACAGCCTCTCATCCCTCTCTCACTGCTCATGCCACAGTGTGTAATTGTGTGCATGTTTGCAGTTGAACTTGCATAGTAACTTTCTCCCCTTCTAGTCCAATATTTCCCCTGGAACCAGAATCATGTCTGTTCTCTTTCCCCATATATTTCCAAAACTTAATAGTGCCTGGAACCCAGTAGGTTAAAAATGTTGTCGAAGAATCACTTAAAAACATAAAGCTAGGTTGATTTTTTAAAGTTATAAATCTTTGAGAAAGACATGGGAAATTAAGAAAATTATTTCAACATTTTTCAAGCTACTGAAACTATTTTAGGAAAGGTGTATAGCTAAATATTAGTTCTCTCATCCAAAGGAAAATGTTGCATGTGAGTACTACATGATTTGGGTCTATTTTTAAAACAGAGGGATAACTTTTTAAATGGAAATTCTGTATTTTAAAAATGACTACTCGTTTTACATATTTAGGGCTCAGTTCACTAAAATGTTTAAATTCTTGGCTCAGCTCCTTAAACCTACTACAAAGATCACATTAGAATTCATTTTAATAGACACTGTAAGCACAGTATCCAATCTCATATCATCATGCTGGGCTCTTTTATTATGAAAGTCACAGGAAGCTGAGCCGGAGGCTGCTGAACACATTGTGGGGTATATCCAGGCCTGGGGATGGTGCCAGCTCTATTGTTTATGTAATATTCTCTCCACCTTTATCTGTGGTGTGCAATGGATATTGACTTTTGAGAAACTACTTCTCTGACCCCATCTCCCAGTTGGAAAAAAACCTGCCAAAATGACATCTGGCTCAGAAAAAGGGGATCAAAGAAGCATAAGGAATGAAAAATTATGAGACTTGTTTAATAAGTAGTTTTGTGTCTGTCTGTTAGATCTGTTAGAGGGCAGAGTGTCAAATGTTTTTAAAGTCACCGTTCCTTTATCCCTTCACAAAGCTCAGTGAAACCTAAGGGTGGCTGTTGTTTCCTTTATAGATTGCGAGGGTTGGGTTTTCTTAAAACAGAGTAAAATGTCATTTTGTCTTTGTTTAAGAGTAAATCTGGGGCTGGAGATTTAGCTCATTGGTTCTGCCGCCTGCCCCGCAAGCGCAAGGATCTGAGTTTGATCCCCCCCCCGCCCCAAAAAGAGTAAATTGATTTACTGAAATTAAGATAAAATTTGGTTATTTGTGATATTTGTCACTGTTCATGTCTGTTTTATTTTTTCTTAAAGAGGAAGATAGTTATCTTTGTTTTTTCCTCCCACTTTTAGGCATAGTACTTGGGGAGTTTTTAAATATTATAAGGAAAAAGAAGGAAGCTCAACTATATCGAAATGAGATAAGACACATCTTCACAGCTTTTGATGTGCACTGTAAGTGTCTTTAAAATGTTTAAAGTGTTCTGTTATAAAAAATTGATAAGGAATTGTGAATGGGAATGTATATTCATTAAATCGAATACATAATTTACTTGGGGGATGATTTTACTGTATTCTTTAGCTATTACCTTAGGTATTGTGCTTTTTTTCCTCCATTGTGATCTTAAATTCTTGTCATATACTGTGACGCAATATTTACAGTTATAATTGTACTTATATGTTTATTTCTGCACTTACATATTGTACCCAGATTGTAATGGTGACAGCAAAAGGACTGGATTTGAGGGGATATAGGCCACAAGCCACCTGTGGAAGTAAGCAGCCTTCCCATTCAGCTCCTCCTCTGACCCACACATGTTTGGAGGAGTTGTTTTTTTACACTAGATGTGGTGGAGAAGAGCTGCGGGCCCCAAACCCATACAGGATGAAAAGACTTGTGATTCTAAGTTGAGTATGTTCACCGCTACTGTATTTGCCCCCTAGGTAATAGATCACAATTCTAATACGAAGCAAGAAAAAAGCTGAATTTTGAAGACTGAAATATTGTGGCAGTTCACAAAGACTTGAAGTTTAATGCCAGGTCACAGTCATGTCTCTGTATAGTCCTTTCCCTAGGACAGAGAATCAGCAAGGGCTGGCAGTGACTTTCAGGATGATCGGGGACTGCACTGAAGGGGTGACTCTTCCTGGGTTCTTAAATTCCTCCAGTAAGACAATATCAGATCACCTTATATGTAAAAATCAACTGTAAACTACTGCTTTTCTCCTAAAATATTGAAATAGAGTTTTATGCAGATCTTACAGCTGAAATAATAGTTCATGGAGTTTATAGAAGAAAGTAAAAGCTTCATATTTTGTTTTCAAATAGATCGTGGCTATTTAACTTTAGAAGATTTCAAAAAAGCATTCAGCCAGGTGGCTCCCAGATTACCAGAAAGGACTGTTCTTGAGGTATTCAGGTAAGGCACTGAATTCTTTATATCCATCTACCCTCTGATTTACCATTTGCTTTCACAGTTTTTCAGTTTTATGGAGGACTCTTACTTGCACTGATTTTTCACTTGTGGACATTTCCACTTTACAAAATAATGCTATGATCTGGGAGAGAAATCTGCAGTTACCTAGTCCAGTTATGCCCTTGATAGTGGGTGCTGAGGTGGATGTGTACTTGCATTCCAGGAAGATGCATAAAAACACTTGCTGGTAGTGACAGGAAAGGAGCAGAACTTTGTATGTTTATATATAAATTGAAAAATGAAACTCTATTCATATTTAATGTGGATACTAATGTTCTCCCATTCTCTGTGTTTTTTTTGGTTTTTTGTTTTTTTCCAGTACCGGGGATTGAACTCAGGACCTTGCGCTTGCGAGGCAGGCGCCAGAACCACTGAGCTAAATCCCCGGCCCCCAGTGCTGTCTGTGTTTCTTAGACTCAGATTATACATGGTTTTGTAGCCTGGGGAGAAAAGTTGGAAGTGCCCAATGGTGTATGGTTGCTCACTTGTTTTCTAAGAGGCTGTTGACACAGGTTGTAGTTCACACGTACCTGAGTTTATATTATGTAGTTCTTAAGAACTAATCCAGAGAAAATGGACAAGTGGCTTAAAAGTACAGTGGACCCTCAAGTTACAACTGACCTGACATATGAACAACTTGGGTTAATTAGGTTAATGGAAGATTCATCTGCCTCTTATTATCTATAGTGTGTACCCAGGTAAACATCCAGATCTCCGCTGCATTGACTTACAACCAACTTGAGTTACAACCAGCCCTCAGCAGGCTAGAGGTAATATTAACAGTGTGAGCACATGCAGGTGTGAGAAAATGGCTGAGCTGTCTCTTCTCTGACACCTTGCGTGAACTCTTCATTAATTGCCGTCAGGTCTTGATTAGGGTTCAGTATACCAGTGAGAGCCAGAAAGCCATAGATACTAGAAGCTCAAAAAAATGTATTTCTCATATAAACATAGCAACTCAGAGCTGACTGAAGGCAACACATCCCTGAAAGAACCAGGTTCCCCATTTCTGTTTGCTCTGGCTGCCTTAACACCTGGCTTCTCCTCCTTGCTTCAGTATGGCTGCTTAAGTTACAGCCATCAAATCTGAATTCCAGCTAGTTTGGAGGCAGGGAGATGAGATCTACCATTCCTTTTACAGCTACAAATTATTCCTATGTGTGTCCCAGTGACTGACCTTTAGATACAAAGCTGTGTGTTTCTGCAAGGGGACGGGTAGGGAAGATAGGAAACTGTAGGCTTGGCTTTGGGCAGAGATGTACTCACTAATAAAGAGTCTGAGAGAGGGGGAAGAGAGAGAATGGATATGGGGACATCTGGCAGATATTCCCATTTGGGAGAAAAATAATTTAATGAAATCTGACCAGAAGCCACCTCTTCTCAATAGAAATTCGCAAGCAGGTTATTTGAAAAAGGACTTGCACACATTGTCATTAACAGTGAATATATGGAATGCATTTGCTGTGTCGTTCACAAGCAAGCTGTTGAGCTTGAAGAAGACCAAAGAAATTAATGCCAGAGGCATACAAATGCTACCATCTAAGACAAGATTACTTAGTTGATTTTGTAAAAGCAAGTTTTTAAAAGTAAACATCTTCATACATACTTTGTGATGAGATTGGTAATGAATATCAATGCATTTCTACCACACAGAAGTTGTTTTTCCCACAAGGAACTAAAAATTGTTACTCCCTTTTCTTTTGCAAAAACATAAGTTGCCCAAATTTGCTGGCCTATGTAGTAAATGGTTTTAGTAGATGCTACCTTGTAAAGATTTTTGAAAAATATACTTTTAAATACAGCCCTTCAAGGTAGAAGCAATGTTTTAACAATGAGTTAGGAAGTAACTGCTTCCAGATAGAAACCTTTGAGGCAAGAAGAGGATTTTTAAAAATAGATGCTTGGAAATTTGATTTTATGTTAAAAATGATGTGTTACCTATTGAAACTCTGAACATCTTCATGTTCATTAATTAGGAGATGGGATGTCCTAAACTGGCTGAAATGTCTTGCAAAGTTTTATGGTTTTAGGGCACAGCTTTTAAAAGTGTACAAATTCAATAGGTTTAATAAGTTTTCAAGAGCAAGTAATTGATATCAGGAAAGATGAACATGTATTAACAGAATTTGAGTTAGTAATAACATAATAATAAAATTAAAATTAAAAAACCCCTAATCTTTTTTATTATCAAAGAATGGAATTAGAAATTGAGGGTATCAGGGTCATGACAACCTTTTCTCATTTAGATCTCCATAATTTGATGAGGTATCTGGGTGAGCCACTAAAACCAAGTATCAAAGCAAATTGAACTTTACACTGCTCAATCACCATGGAGTAAGCCATGATGTTCAGAAATGAAACTATACTACATCACATTATTCTTGTTAAGTATTACTAATTCTTTCTGGTGACAGCCAAAAAATCATTTTCCATTAATAAATATATCTTTTTCAAAATATTTAGAAATTTCTATGTTTATAATGTACGTATTAATATAGTAGCACACGTGTATATAATCTATAAATACACATATTCATATTGTGGATTGTTTGTGCCTGGATCTTATACTATTTACTAGAGTTTTGTGCTCAGAACGTTTTGGAGACCACTGCAGTATCAATCAAAACAAGGCATTTCAGTTAGGTTCAATATGCCCTTTTTAAACTCTCAATTATCTTTTAAGTCATATTAAAACCATATTCCATAAACCAGAATAAATGATGAATAAGAAAATGTTAAGTGAAGTTGTGAACTCAAAAAGGAGAGAAAAGTATTTCCTCTTTGAGTAAATTGAAGTAGGCCAAAGAAAAGAAATAAAGATATGTAACACACACACACACACACACACACACACACACACACACCCTTGTTTCAGTAATGCAGACAATTTTGAAGAAGAAGAACAAAGCATCAGCTACTGAGGCCATGAGCAATGCAAAATTTCATAACGTTTCTGGACTCACTTTTTGAGGAGCTGGGGTGGCTTGGGACTGAATTGACAGGCATGGATCAAGTTCGTTGGCCAGAAGAAAACCCGCATCTGAGGAGCAGCATAAGAGGACAACAAGAAGGAGACTTTAACTAGACCAGAGTACTCTGGGGTTTGGATAACTGCAGAAATAAATCTTCATAATCTTCAAGGCAATAACTGGCTCGTTCTTCCCAAAAAACTTGCTAGAGATTAATAGTATTCTCTGTCAGAAGGACTTGTCCATATTACACTTTCTTTTTGTAAACCAAACCAAACCACAACGGTAAAACCAATCAACCAACCAAATAAACATCAGAAACAGGTAATTAGAAGAAAGAGTCTTGGACATGTAGCATTAAAGAGTCATTTCACTTTAGTAACTTGGTATCAACACTGGAATATCACTCCGTAATTCTGAGGGTGTTGCAAGAACTAAATGAGATACTTTTATAAGGTTGGTGAATTGTTACCTAACTTTTCTGATGCTTACTATAGTGATATTTATTGTGAATAAAAGTAATGTGGTTTTGAGATATAGGTGTTATATAGAAATATATATGTGCATTTATTGTCAGGGTTCATAGCATTCACATTTTGTTCTGCAATCATCTGTTTTATTATTGTTAGTTCTATAATTAAATGAATTGAAAGCTCATCTCCAAGCCATGTCACAGTTTTCACCTAGCTGAAGTTTATCTTCTTCTAGGGATCATAAAAAGTATGATCCTTGTTGTCTTTCATATTAAAAAATATTTACCTGGGCCTTTGCACTTGAACAAAATTATATAATGGATCAGATGCTAGCATTTTGGAGTCATCTTCATTTTCATTTTTCTTTCCATTTTTTCCTCTTTTTCTTTTTCTCTGTTTCTCTTTCCCTTTTCTCTTCTTCTTCTATTCCTTCCTTCCTTCCTTCCTTCTTTCCTTCCTTCCTTCCTTCCTTCCTTCCTTCCTTCCTTCCTTCCTTCGGTACTGGGAATGGAATCCAGGGCCTTCTTTACTGAGCTGTCCCAACGCTTTAAAAAAAATTTTTTTTTGACACAGGATCTCACTAAGCCACTGAATTGCTCAGGCTAGGCTCAAACTTATAACTCTCCTGCCTCAGGCTCCCAGAATGTTGGTATTACAGGTGTGTGCCACCATGTCTGGCTTCTTTCTCTACAAAATGCTATTTTATATTTATGTTAGAAGTCCATTTACATTTTTTGTTAGTTTCTATTTTAATTCCTTGTTTTGCTCACCACATCTTTTATTATATTTTCTGCAGTGTCCATTCTCCTTTGTGCTGTGTCCAAGTTGCCTTTTCTTTAAATCTATTTTGGTTTTATTTTTCTCTTAAACCTCTTTCTTGAGCTGTACCTTCTACTATTTCATGCCTTTATTATTATTTTGATGTATCTTGTTATTTTATAGTATCTCTTCTAAACCTTTCTATATCTACTTTCAACTCTTGTTTGATTTATTAGGGGAAACAATGTTTTTTGAGATTTTATTTTATTTTATTTATTTAATTTTTTTGGTACCGGGGATCGAACTTGGGCCCTTGCGCTTGCGCAGCAGGTGGCGAAACCACTAAGCTAAGTCCCTGGCTCTGAGATTTTATTTTTAATGGGTAGTTATTTAGGGCACACTAATTATAACTTTTCCCATATGAATGAATGAAAGCAAGTTTTTCTCATGAGGGAAAAGTATGAGGAAGAAATTACTTGAATTTCTCATGTGAAAACCAAAAATTGGGATAACTTTATCTCTAAAAATATCATAAGATTTTTATTATTTGGGCTTTAAAATGTGAGACTTTTCAGTGTTTAAAACTTAGAACTCGGCTTTCCTCTTAGAGCTGATTTGTATATTTGGGTACTAAAATAGCTCAGGCTGTATCAAAGATGGTGTTTCATTATTTGTCAGAAGTTCTTAGTAAATTCTTTTCTTGTACATCTTTTTCCCCCCTACCCACTAAAAATGGCAGAAG